ATAAACCTCTTTCCTTTATAAATTACCCAGTCTCAGGTATTTCTGTAATAGCAACACAAAACAGACTAAAACAATATCACCACTCACATCTAACTGTTGTTAGTCAAAACTTTTAAAAGTTTTGATCCTACATTTATCAATTCTATTTGAAAAATTGCATTCACATTACATAAATTGATAGTTTTCACCTCAAATTGTCTGATATACAAAAATGAAGGTCATGGTGAAAGCAAACTTATTGTCCCTGTTCAATGAGGAGTCCCTGCCTGGTAAGGTGTTCCATATTTATTGCATTGTTTCTCCCCAATAGCAGACTTGGGTGTAAAAGGTGACAATACAGGTTTCTCTCCTGTGTGAATATTCTCATATTCAAGAACTGGTAACTGCTCTCAGAAAGTTCATAAAGTCAGTTAGCACACTGGACTACTTGTGTTGTAACAGAAATCACACATGAAATGGCAAGCCATAGTAAGTATTTCTTACATACAGTAGGAATAGAGGATGTGGGGATAGAGTTGGAAAGAGCTATGGTTTCTTCAATTCCGTCTGTCTTAACTTATGGTGGATATCTCCCACCTATGGCCCCCAACTCCACCCTACGTGTCATCTGCCCTTCAGTCCCAGAGAACATGAGAAATCAGAGACAAATGCATGAACTTTTTTTTAGAGACTGGCAGTAATGTTTATCACCTGTAGCCATACTCCCCTGAACAAAGCTAAATTACACGGTTCCACACACAATAATTAATGGCTGAGATTGCAGGCACATGTACAAGAGAAAAAAGGTGTTTTTTAGAAAATACATACCCAGCCTAATCCACACAGAATTTCCCCCAATGTAAACTATCTCATGACTCCTGCAGTGTGAGTTTCTTTTACTTTACTCTTTTTTTTTTTTTTTCCAGTGGCTGTCCAGTACAGGGACCCATGGTGTTATCAGCATGATGCTCTAACCAACAAAACACTAACTACAGCCAGCCCTGTAACTGTTGAAAAAAGATGTTTTCACAATTATTAATCTCCTTCTATATCTGAGGGTTGCACATCTGCAGATTCAACCACTTATAAAAATTGTTAAAAATCAAAAGAAAAAATAAAACTATAATACAAGTAAAAAATACACAGTATAGTAACTATTTACAAGGAATTCCTTCTGTATTCAGTAATATAAATTTCTACTCAAGATATACAGTACATGGAAAAAAGATCATAGTTAACACTAAAACAGTAAACCATTTATAGAAGGTGGTTGATCATTTGCAAGTGTTTTCATCCAGAACGGCTCCTTGAACCAACCTCCAATACCAAGGGACAGTAGTGCATTTATAGGGCTTCTTCTTGGTGTAAGTTCTCTGATAAAACATGAGGTGTGATTTATGGCAAAACCTTTTCCCACAGCCATTATGTTAATTGTGATTTTCCCATGTGTGAAATTGTTCATGTCTATTATGGTGATTCCCACTAAACTGTTTTTCCACATTCCTTATATTCTCATGATTTCTCACCTGTGTGAGTTCTCTGGTATCTGTGGAGGCATGACTTATGGGTGAAAGCTTTTCCACATTCATGACATTCATATGGTTTCTCACCTGTGTGAGTTCTGATGATTGCTGAGTTGACTTTTTACTAAAGGCTTTCCCACATTCTTTGCATTCATATCATTTCTCACCTGTGAGAGCTGCCTGATGAAGGCTGAGGCATGACATTTGGATAAAAGCTTCTCTGCAGTCTTTACATTTATTTGGTTTCTCACCTGTGTGAATTCTCTGATGAAGGCTGAGGCATGACTTCTGGATAAAAACTTTTCCACATTCTTGACATTCACATAGTTTCTCACCTGTGTGAGTTCTCTGAAGGCTGAGGCATGACTTTTGGATAAGAGCTTTTCCATTCTTGACATGCACATGGTTTCTCACCTGTTTGAGTTCTCTGATGATTGCTGAGAGTTGACTTTTTACTAAAGGCTTTCCCACATTCTTTGCATTCATATGGTTTCTCACCTGTGTGAATTCTCTGATGAATGCTGAAGTATGACCTGTCTCTAAATGCTTTCCCACATTCCTTACATTCATATGGTTTGTCACCTGTGTGAGTTCTCTGATGAATGCTGAGTTTTGACTTTAGGCTAAAAGCTTTCCCACATTCTTGACATTCATATGGTTTCTCACCTCTGTGAGTTCTCTGATGATTGCTGAGAGTTGACCTTCTACTAAAAGCTTCCCCACATTCTTTGCATTCATATGGTTTCTCACCTGAGTGAATTCTCTGATGAATGGTGAAGTATGACTTGTCTCTAAATGCTTTCCCACATTCCTTACATTCATATGGTTTCTCACCTGTGTGAGTTCTCTGATGAATGCTGAGTTTTGACTTTAGGCTAAAAGCTTTTCCACATTCTTGACATTCATATGGTTTCTCACTTGTGTGAGTTCTCTGATGAATGCTGAATTGTGAATTATGGGTAAAAGCTTTCCCACATACTTTACATTCGCATGGTTTCTCACCTGTGTGAATCCTCTGATGAATGCTGAAGTATGACCTGTCACTAAAAGCTTTCCCACATTCTTGACATTCATATGGTTTCTCACCTCTGTGAGTTCTCTGATGACTGCTGAGAGTTGACTTTTTACTAAAAGCTTTCCCACATTCTTTGCATTCATATGGTTTCTCACCTGCGTGAGTTCTCTGATGAATGTTGAGGTATGACTTGTTGCTAAAAGCTTTCCCACATTCTTGACATTCATATGGTTTCTCACCTGTGTGAATTCTCTGATGAATGGTGAAGTATGACTTGTCTCTAAAAGCTTTCCAACATTCTTTGCATTCATATGGTTTCTCACCTGAGTGAGTTCTCTGATGAATGTTGAGGTACGACTTATTGCTAAAAGCTTTCCCACATTCTTGGCATTCATATGGTTTCTCACCTGTGTGAATTCTCTGATGAATGGTGAAGTATGACTTGTCTCTAAATGCTTTCCCACATTCCATACATTCATATGGTTTCTCCCCTGTGTGAGTTCTCTGATGAATGCTGAGTTTTGACTTCAGGCTAAAAGCTTTTCCACATTCTTGACATTCATATGGTTTCTCACTTGTGTGAGTTCTCTGATGAATGCTGAATTGTGAATTATGGGTAAAAGCTTTCCCACATTCTTGACATTCATATGGTTTCTCACCTGTGTGAATTCTCTGATGAATGCTGAAGTATGACCTGTCACTAAAAGCTTTCCCACATTCTTGACATTCATATGGTTTCTCACCTGTGTGAATTCTCTGATGATTGCTGAGTTTTGACTTTCGGCTGAAAGCTTTTCCACATTCTTGACATCCATATGGTTTCTCACTTGTGTGAGTTCTCTGATGAATGCTGAACTTTGACTTCTCTCTAAAAGCTTTTCCACATTCTTTACATTCATATAGTTTCTCACCTGTGTGAATCCTCTCATGCCTGCAGAGGTATGACTTATGGCTAAAAGCTTTTCCACATTCTCTACATTCATCTGGTTTCTCTCGTGTGTGAATTCTCTGCCTGCTGAAATCCGACTTTTGTTTACAAGCTTTTCCACTTTCTTTACCTTCATGTGGTTTCTCACCTGTGTGAGTTCCCTGATATAAATTACGGATCTCTCCTGTGCGAATAATCTGATGTTTCGTGAGTTCAGACTTTTCATAGAACATTTTCCCACATATACCAGATTGAAAAGTTTTCCTTTCTATTTGATTTATTTCTTGGGCAATGACAGCTGACTTACCACACTCTTTCCCATATTCATTATACTTATAGGTGGTCTCATCCCTATGATTCTTTTTACGTGTAAATATCATTGGCTCGATGTTGGAGGATTTCCCTTTTTCACTGTATTCTAAAAGGTGCTTCCCAGTATGAATACTGGGATGCTGACTAAGATGCTCATGATGTCTTGGCAATTTTCCAGTTGTGTGATGGTAATCAGTTTTCTCTCCAGCAGGCATCTCATCAGACTCTCTAGAAAGAAGTGCATTCTGACATATGTAAAACTCCTCATGTCCATTTCCTGAATGGTTTCCATTACTTATAATACAATTTAAAACACAATATGAATTCAAATAAAATGATTTTCCTAAGACAACTCTGTCCTCAGATAATATGTTGCTGTTGGTGATTATGATTTGCTGCAAGCATCTACCATGATTTTCTTGGTTCCTCTGCTCAAGGTCATCATCTATATGGACATCTGAAATGACAAAAAAAATCTATGAACCACACAGAAGCACACCTCATTGATTGCTCATGTAAACACAGAATGCCTTTCAATCCTAGTGACAAAAGAATTTATAAAAAAGTCAATAATAAAAATTGATTTCATAAGTTCCTGAGATTTTTTTTACTGTCAATATAATATTGTACTACTATATTTTCTAATGTTATATCACCTTTTTCTTCCCTTCCTTGCTCATTTGTATATTTTACTTTATGAGTAAATATTTGTTAAGAATTTTTATTTTCTGCCTACATGAAGTTTTCAACTAAGCATTTCTTTACACCATTTTCTGTTTCATTTTCACAACAATGGGTATCTCCTGCTGCTATTTTCTCATTATTTCACTAAGAAGATGGCTAGGTTTTCCTTCATCAGGTACTTTCCGGTTCAGAAGTGAGCCAATTTTTTTTATCACATGTGCAACAACGTGGCTGAGGACAAGGATTTTGCATTTATGTTTATATGCTTTACACTTATCCTTTAGAAAATGGCTATAGGAATGTGGAAGTTTTTCAAAGAATAAAATATACTTTTCTCCACCTTTAAGATAGGTTCCTCTAAGCTTTCCATTTAACTTGACTTCCTCTGCATCGCATAAACCATTAGAATAAAGGAAACATCACTTCTCCACCCTAAACACCCACTTCTGTTCTACAATATTTGGTTCTGCATCCAAGGCTGTTCCCACCATCTTTGAAATATGTTCTTTTGACTCCTTCTCAAATCAACTTGTATTCTATTCCCAATTTCTGGTATATGGACCACCACTTGATAATTAATTTCTTGTGAAAGCTTTTGTTTTGTGCAGTGAAGTTTTGGTGGCCTTCTATTCTCACAAAGAGTCTCTTGCATATTTCTCATTTTTTTTCTGAATGATTTCCACAAAGAAAACAGAAAAATGCTAACTCTGAACTCCACTCCCAATCAACAATCTTAGTCCCTCAATATGGAACCCTTAGTTCACATGGCCTTGGCACCCAGAATCTCCTGGTTTTCCTTCAAAGTCAAGGACCACCCCTTTCCATTCTCCCATGTAGCATTCTCCTCAGCTTCATGACTTTTGATGTGGTAGTACAAGGCTCACTGCTGCACCTCTTTTCTGATTTTCTTAGTGAATTACTATGTGATACCCTGCACTACTTTGGGACTCTGTGAAGAGTCCCCATCAGAACAAAGGCCCTCACCAGATGCAACCCTTTGGACTTGTAATGCTGAGCCTCCAGAACAAACTTGCAAGAAAAAGAGTTTTTTCTTTATAAATTACCTAGTTGCAGGTATTCTGTCAGAAACAACAACAAAAAAAACAGATACAGTATGAGAAAAATATGTACACGAGAACTGAAGACAAGCACAACTGAAAATGTTAAGAAAACAAGAAAAATAAATGACAAAGAGAAATGTAGGAATTAGATTTGAAGTACATATGAAACATCTGGCAAAACATTGGGGTATACGTGAGACACCCCACCTTGGAGACTATGTAATACAGGATTGCAGATGAGCCATCCTCAAGTCTGGGCCTGGGGGGGAAATTGCTAGATACAGCTGAACACTTGCAACATCTAATGGGTTTTACTGTTCTTGGCTTCTGCACTGTACGTGCTGACAAATCTTGCTGGATCTGGTTTGATCATTCTTCTATTGTGCATGGCTTTGCCCCTTCTTCTGACTTGACAGTTACCTCAGCGTTGTTAATAGTGTTCTGTTAATGGGAAGTAATGTAGGACTTGGTAAAACTGCTAAGTCTGATCCTTGAAAGAATGGCAAGAGCTCAGCTTCAGAGGCCGTGCAATAAAGAGGCCAATTTGAACCTCATGAGAGAGAGGGAGCACATTTGCAAGAAATGTAATCTTGCCAAAATAGCATGAAACCCTATAAGTGGTTCCCATATTTATGAACAAAAAGAAACTGTTTCTCCTGAAAGTCACTTGGGAATTTAACTCACTCAGTGACACCAGGTTGCTGTAGGTCTCCAGCATCACATCCCTGTACAAAGTCCTTTGAGCATCATTCAGGTCCTGCCACTCCTCCCAGGTAAAGTCCACAGCCACATCCTCAAATGACACCAACTCCTGTAATGACACATCATTCTCAACTCAGCATCCCTGGGTCACAAAACAGAAATCTGAGAGTTCACACTCCTGTGTGTGTATGTGTCTTATATAAGATGCCACATTTTTGTACTCCATAGAATGGAAGGAAGAAGAAACAAAGGACAAATGACCGTGTACAATAACAAGTTATTAATTACTAAAAATAATATTACAAAACTTACCTTATACTTTAGGAAATATCCTTGTTGCTAGGGACAAAATTGTGAATAAATTTTTTTCTTTTCCAAGGAGAGTATAAACAGCCATGAAGACATAAGTATAAATACATACCTGATATAGTGTCAGATAAAAAAAATTTAAACACAAGTTCAATATAGACTGGCATAAGAAAGAAATAAAAAAATACATAGTTTTATTTTGTATTCAGTTTCCACTTCACTAAAATGCCAAAGATGTTAAACTCTTCCATGTGAATTGCATGGTCTCATAAATATGAGGCAACAGCAAAAGTCCAGTCACAAGAACACAAAGAACACACCCCACATTAATGGAACTGCACACAGCACCATGTCTGAGTGAATGATCTTGGGCAGCGTAAGAGAAAAACAATATTGAAGCAACTGATTATAGAATGATTCTGCACTTAAATATGGGACCTATTTCAAACAGCAAAACATTATATGTAGTTATTGTTGTTTTTTAATTACTTATGAGTTAAAATTACATAAAAAAGGCATTCCAAAATTTCCCCCCTATGTGCCAAAGGATTGCTTGTGTCCACACCAGGGTGTACACTGCAGCTTCTAAACCACAGGGATCAAACAACATGGTCCTGTAAGTACATGACTTTGTGCTTTAGTCATCATCCACTACAAGGAGAGTAGAAAAGGCTTTTAGGAATAGTCAGAGAGAAAGAGAAAACAGGGTGACAGAAGACCAACTACATTACAACATAGAGAAATAGGCACACAGAAGAGAGACTTAACACTATAAAAAAGAAACGGATGAAAAAGCAGAAACAGAATGTGGTAGTAATTTGCTGTGCAGAATTTTAAAAGAAGAATTTTACTCTCAGACTATCTACATAAGCACAGCTAGTTATGTCCTGGAACTGCAAAGCAAAGTTTGAAAAATGGGAGAAAAATACAAAGAGCAAAAGTGAAACAGGCTTGAATACATAATACTTGAAATATCTGTGGAAATGTCCAAGTGGCAATTGGGTATATGATTCCAGCATTCAAGAGAGAAAGTTAAGCTGACAATAAAGATTTGAAAAGTATCAAAATTTCTATGTTATCTGAAGACTTCAAAGTGAATGAACCTAAGAA